GGGAGCGGAGTCCCGACACGGATCCGAGAAACCCGCGCAGACCTCCGAGAAATTATGTATGCCGTTTTTGTTTTTCGAGGGGCGAATCAACATCAGCTACAATGCTAGCATTCGCTCGTGCGCGAAATGGCCGAGGATACGAAGGGTTGCAGGATAGGCCCAGAGTATAGCAGGGGGGCAACGCCGTGAACGAGCATGCGAGAGGGCTCGGGTAGGCGCGCCCACCTCAAGCAGAGCCCTCTTCGAGGCCGCACCTAGTCGCCCAGGATAGGGATGGGATAGGTGCAGCCTTTCATCGCCGCTGTCATTCGACCTGCACGTATCTGAAGGTTTGACCTGTAGAATCCTGTAGGATCATCGTATTCCTCCTCCTCCTCCTGTTCTTCCTCCTCCTCCTCCTCATCTTCCGCATCACCATCATCATCATCATCATCATCATCATCATCATCAGCAGCAGCATCATCATCATCAGAATCAGCATCATCCTCATCATCATCCTCATCAGCAGCATCAGCATCAGCATCAGCATCATCATCAGAATCCTCATCCTCATCCTCATCATCATCATCAGCAGCAGCAGCATCCGCATCATCAGCATCATCATCAGCATCATCATCATCATCGACATAATCATAATTATCATCATCATCATCATCAGCAACATCACCATCATCATATTCATCATCAGCAGCAGCATCATCAGCATCAGCATCATCACCATCATCAGCATCAGCAGCAGCATCATCATCAGCAGCAGCATCTGCATCATCATCATCAGCAGCAGCAGCATCACCATAAGCATCAGCAACAGCATCATCTTCACCACCATCATCATCAACAGCATCATCACTATAATCAGCATCAGCAACATCATCCTCATCATCATCGTCATCAGCATCATCATCAGAAGCAGCATCAGCATTATCAGCATCATCATCAGCAGCATCATCAGCAGTATCATCATCGTCATCACCATCATTATCATCATCAGCATCATCAGCATCATCATCAACAGCAGCATCATTATCATCGTCATCATCAGAATCAGCATCATCATCATAATCATCATCATCAGCATCATCAGCATCATCATCATCATCATCATCATCATCATCATCATCATCGTCACCAGCATCATCACCACCATCAGCAGCATCATCAGTACCATCATCAGCGGCAGCATCATCATCAGCATCCTCATCATCATCAGCAGCATCGCCATCATCATCTTCAGCAGCATCACCACCACCATCGTCATCATCATTCTTATCAGCAGCAGCAGCATCGCCATCATCGTAATACTCCTATTAATCTTCATCTTCGTCGTCATCGCCATCGTCATCTGCGTCATCATCAGGAGCATCATCAACATCAACATCGTCATCGTCAACGTCATCGGCATCGTCATCGTCATCATCATCACCAGCTGCATCATAATCAGCATCATCATCGTAATCAACATCGTCATCCCGAATCATCACCCTCATGAACATCATCAGCATCGTCAGCATCATCATGATCATCGTCATCGTCATCGTCATCATCATTAGCATCGTCATCATCAGCAGCATCATCATCATCGCAATCAGATTCATTGTCATTTTCTGCATCACCATCATCAGCAGCAGCAGCATCACCATCACCATCACCATCACCATCATCACAATCCTCCTCCGCCTCCTCCCCCTCCTCCTCCTCGTCCTCCTTGTCCTCCTCGTCCTCCGCCTCCTCATCCTCATCCTCCTCCTCCTCCTCCTCCTCCTCCTCCTCCTCCTCCTCCTCCTCCTCCTCCTCCTCCTCCTCCTCCTCCTCCTCCTCCCCCCCCCCCGCGCCTCTCCGTCTCCCCCTCCCCCCCTCCACAGAGCTTACCCTCACCCTCCTCGCTAGCGGAGCCCGCTGGGCGCCCAGCCGCGTAGCCGATGGCGCCGGCACGGGCCGTTCGCCCGATGCGGTGGACGTAGTCTTCGGTGTTGTTGGCGGGGTCGAAGTTCACCACGAGGCCCACCCCCTGGCGACGGCGATGACGAACGGCGGCGGCGGCGACGGCGTCTTGGCTCCAGGGGCCTTCGGGTGTCTTCCTGGAGCTCCTCGTCCTCAGAGCTGGACGCAGACCGAAGAAGAAGAAGAAAAAAAAATGAAAAAAAGAGAAGAAGAAGAAGAAGAAGAAGAAGAACTGGCCGGGACTGCCTGGACAGAAAGGTACCGATGCCGCTACTCCCCAGACTTCTCCTGGGGTGCATTCTGACCAGGATCTCGAGGATAATCAAATCAGGCCATGGAGACGAGGGCTCTCCAGGACAAGCGGCGGCATCGGTATCTCTTCCTCCCCTGAAGGATGGGCCCCAGGATAGAGCATCGATTAACCGATCCCCATCCCCACTGGCATGGCCCTGGCCCAACTTGCCGATGTACCCCCCAGATGGGGAGATAGGCTGTTCCCTTCGGGTTTCGAAGGGCCTATCCCCAGCTGGTGGGCGGTCACAGCATGCCTCTTCGACGAGTTCGCACGCAGTTCGAATCTCAAGAGCAGGCCTCGGAAGCGTGTGATCATTCCTCCGTGGCCGATTTCTCTGGCACGCTGCGCGCGGCTTCTCCAAGAAGATCTTCCTTTCCGGGGCGACTTCTCGTGCGACTCTTCTGGCAAGCACCTCGGCTTCTTCCTCCTCGGTCCAGGAGCGGGCTCGCTGCCTCTCTGGGTGACGAACGAACAACGCACACCCACACCCATAAAGGGGGTCGTTGGGAGGAGGACTGGCCATGGGTACGGGTGCGGGTTGTTGTCGGACCCTAGGGAACGGTCCCGTTCGAGCGGGGACCCCCATCCGACAACAAGCACCCATAGCCCTTTCCGACCCCCCATATGGGTATGGGTGTGTGTTGCTGGCTCGTCACTTGGCACCTATGCGCAGGTACTTGGGCAGAGTCCAGCACATCAAGGATCTTTCACTCGCTTTGCCGGCCACTGCATTGCCATACAACTCCACCGCCACCAGCGTGCTGGGGCTCGTCTTGCCGTTGGCTGAGCCGACCGCCGACCTCCTGAAGACCGAGCGGGCGATGCTCCGCAAACTGATCGCTGGGCTGGGGAACCGCCTGCCCCCGAAGTACGAATTCAGCCTCAACCAGCTCGGACTACAGTCGGGGCGCTGACCTAAGGAATCCTAAATAAGAAACGAGGCCCCTTTTTTCCCATAAGCTAAACTTCGATTTCCCATGGAAGACCTCAGGGAAACCTCGGGCAAACTGCACCAACAATCAAGGAACACCGAGCCCCTCCCCAACGAGAAGGGTTCCTTTTTCAGCGCCCCGACTGTACCAGTGCCTGTTCTTTCTATGACGGCCTTGCACCTAGCATCTGCGGGTAGGACCTGGTCTGCTACGTGCCCCAGCTGGCGCACCAGCTTCAGCCTATTGCAACTCGGCCCTTTGAGTGACCATGCTCCGCTGCAGTGGAGGTGGCACTCGTGGCTTGATCGTTCGGCCGCCCGTGCTTTGGGCCGCGCACACACCCGATTCAGCACAATGGGAGCGTCATTGATTACGATTCGCGGTGAGGCTAGGGCTGACCAAGCAGCGATCTACAAGCAATTGCACGGCCGCTTGTTTCCGGCGTGCCCTGCTCAGGCCATCCAGAGACGGCCGAAAATGTGGAGCCACATCTTAGGACCGTCGAAACTGCGCGGCTGCGCGGAGTACTCTGCAAGCAACATGCCCACATTGCGGCGCCAGGTTCCCCCGTGTGTCCTCTCTGCTTGCACTCATGATCTTTCCAATGGCTGGACAACCGCACGGCGCTTTCAGAAGGAAGCCCCATGCGTTTGCTGCAGGACCTCAGGGTCCGACTCGATCGAGAATTATTGGTGTTGTCCTGTCCTCTTGGAGGCAGGCCGTCGCTATTTGCACCTTGATTTGTCGAATTGGTCGTTCCGCCATTTCTTAATTTGTTCCCCTTCCAGCCCCTCTCACATGTGCTCGTTTACTTGTCCTGACGTTTGCGAGGAGGCACTTAGCGAGCAGTGGAACGCGCTCGCTGAACTCAAGCATCGAGGGTCGGACCGTTGCCGGGCGCGCCTGGACCCCGTCTCCCCAAGCATGCTCTTGCCGCCGAAAGATCACAACGGGAAGTGTTTGGCCGTTTTCGGCCCCTGAGGGGCCTCGCCAGACCCGAGACCGTTGAAAAACCGACCCAGGATGAAAAAGCAGTCCCAGGGAATGGGTCGAGACCTCCAGGGGTCCACGTTGCGAAAAATCATTGCCAGAGTCTTGTATCTCCAAAACAAAACTTTTGGAGCCACGGTGGCTCCAACTACTGTTCGCGCACCCCCCGAAACATCGTCTTCCTCCTTTTCATGATCAGCCTGCACCCTCGTCATAATTATCGTCGTCGACACATTCGTCGTTGTTGTTGTCGCCGTCATCTTCTTTCTACACCTTTTAGCTCTCAAGCTTCTACTCCTCCAACGTACTTCTTCTCGTCGCCTCCCGTTCCTCCTCCTCCTCCTCATGCTCCTCCTCCTCCTCCTCCTCCTCCTCCTCCTCCTCCTCCTCCTCCTCCTCCACATCATCATCATCATCATCATCATCATCATCATCAGCATCATCATCATCAGCAGCAGCATCATCATCAACATCATCATCATAATCATCATCATCATCATCATCATCATCATCATCATCATCATCATCATCATCAGCATCATCCTCATCATCATCATCATCATCATCATCATCATCATCATCCTCATCCTCATCCTCATCCTCATCCTCATCCTCATCAGCATCAGCATCATCATCATCATATCCCTTTTCATTATCATGTTTCTCGTCCTCCTGATCATGCCCCTCCTCCCTCCCCTCTTCCTCTTTTCTCTCCTCCACCCCCTGGTCACGAGCAGCATGTCCACCTCTGCCGTGGCGCCGCGACCCCGGCTCGCCCGAAAAGCGCTCCGAAGAGATCCAGAAGGCATCCGGGACTGGGCATCTGGGAACTCAGAGTTGCGATGCGAGGAGGTCTCAGGCGAAACGGGCCAGACAACCCCAGATCAGGACATCTCTGAGCCCAGAGTTGCGAGGGTGCCTCGAGCAAAACGGGACGGACCACCTCTCGCGCGGCAGTTCGGAGCCCAGCGCTTCGAGGACGTCTCAGGCCGAAACGCCCAGCCCCGGCCAACTCAGAAAAGAGAGCTGTGGGGATGCCTCGGGCGAAACGGCCTGGAGCGCCCTGCTTTTTGGGAGGACGCCTCTGCGCGGCGCCCGCCCCTCAGCCGGAGCTGGCTTCCACCACAACGGCGGCACCCCCGTCCGCACAGCGGCTTGGGGAAGGACCGTGGCGTCGGGGGCATGGGCTGGGGCCTCTCGGAGCCCTGGAGGCCTCCTCCGCGGAGGCCGACAGGGGCCCCCGGCCTCCGCGGAGGCCGACAGGGGCCTCCCGGGGCCCGCGGGGCGCCGACCTTCTGGCACCCCGATCTTCACCGCAGATCAATGCGACCCTGTAAGGTGAGGGCATTGGATAAGGAACCAGTGGATGAGAAATCCAGGGTCTCGAAGCCAGCGGAACTTCGATCGTGGATTGGCCATGGATATCACCGCCGCCCGCATTCGATGAGGAAGCCTCCAGGGTCTGAAGCCTCCTGGGCACACTCCTCATCCAACGCCCCCACCGTATGCCTGAGGTGATCCAGCAAAGCGGCAGTGTCACGGACTCAGTGCGCCTGGTCCGTGAAAAACGTCGACTGGGGGGGCGCAAGAGGAAAAGGAGGAACCCGAGACGCATCAACCAGGTTGCAACAAACCCTCCCTCCAAGTTGCCTCTTCATAGGCCCCTACACAAACTGGCTTTCATTGCGATAAGTGCCTCATTGGAAGACAACCACCTGATAATCTTCAATCATGCGAAAGCACAACTCCTGGGACTCCAGAGCCGCGAATCAACATTACAATTGCGTGCTGACAACCCTACATCGTGCCAGAACAGAACGCCTTTCCTGGGACTTCAACCCACGAATCAACGTGACTGATGCGTCCTGACAGTCCGAAAGCCGTGCCAGAACAGCATTCCTAGGACTTCAACAATACAAGACTTTGCAATTGCTGCAAACTTTAAAAAACGAATGTGCGCGGCGATATAGCACGAGCCACTATTTGAAAAGAAACAGCCCTCCATCCTTGAAGCTACCGCGAACTTTTACGACGAATGCGCGCGGCGCCAAGGCGACGGCCACCTTGTGAAAACCACCCGTCCTCCATCCTCGGCACTGTGACAACATTGAAAAACTAATGCGCGCGGCACTGAGGCGAGAGCCACATTGTAAAAAAACGGCACGCCCTCCATCCTTGAAACTGCTGCGAACTTTCAAGACGAATGTGCGCGGCGCTCGGATGTGAACCACCTTTTGGAAAATGGCCCGCACTCCATCCATGAAACTGTTGCGAATCTCGAGCTCCAGGATGATGAGCGATGGGGAACTCCCAGGCGAGACGCTCGGCCCGCCCTGCCAACACTTCTTGGGGTGCGATGGGGACGAGTTGTTTCTAAGGAAAAGAGTTGGAGGTAGGGAATCGAACTCTATACACCGACGCTTTTTCCGGCCCTGTACTGAAACTCGCACAAGAAAGCGGATCCTGTTGTATACGGAGTCCTGGTGTATAACCCGGAGAAGCAATTAAGGAACCCCCCGGCGTTATCATTAGCACCGCGCCGTAATCAAATAATTATTTGGGGGGGTTTTCGCCGAGCGATATTATTAGCACCGCGCAAATGGAAGGAAAATAAATAATTCCAGCGCCCCGCCTCGGGTGGCATCCAAATTAGAATTGTAATGAGAATAAGAATACGAATACGAATAAGGAAAAGCTGAGAAAAGCTAAGGAAAAGCTTAGAAAAGCTAAGAAAAAGCTGAGAAAAGCTGAGGAAAGCTAAGGAAAGGCTTCCGGGTGCCAGGATAACGCTTCCGGGTGCCGGGTGCGTTATCCTTTCACCGGAGAGGGGGGGGGGGGGGGTCCTTAATC